CACTTTGGTCTGAAAACATAAGACCAGCTGAAGCAGGAGCGTTACAGGGTCAATCGTTATCCCCCTATATATAAAGCAGTAGTTTGGTGTGTTTGTTTGTCCAGCTGAGGGGCGGAGCCTGCACCGAAATCTCTGCGGGGAATATCGGTTTTTGCGCAGAGGGCTCGAATTAGGTTGGGAATCACAGTATTGATTGGGGGCCGTGGTAAAAGTCGAAATTCTATCGGGTCACATGCTATCGATCGATATCGATTGAAAATATCGGTTTTTGCGCAGAGGGCTCGAATGAGGTTGGGAATCACAGTGTTGATTGGGGGCTGTGGTAAAAGTCGAAATTCATCGGGTCACATGCTATCGATCGATATCGATTGAAAATATCGGTTTTTGCGCAGAAAGCTCAGAAAGGTGGGAAATCACAATATCGGGTAGGTAATGCAGTAACAGAAGCTACCTCAAAGTGCGCGCGAGGGCGCGCGAAGCTAAACTGGTCAACTAATAATATAGTAGATGATGGGTTTCTGCCAAATATACTTGCAGGGCTATCAACTGATAGCAGTTTTGACAAAAATCTGTCGTCCACCGAGGGTTAAGGTTTTGAGACTCAAGGTGTTTGGCTGTGCTATTACTATGTTTCTCCACCCTGTAAAAAGCTGGATTGCTGTCGACAGAAATTCGTGCTGGAAGGCGAACGCACTGATATGCAACTGCTATGTACACAATGTCTCCTAAATTCTATCCGTACTTACCCACATTCATCACTTCTTGAATTTTCCGCAGTGTTCCAATGTGAAGTGAGATGGCTTTGGTGGGATGTCCACAAATAAATTGGACATCTTCGCAGCGTTCTGACGTCATCTGGATCGTGAGCAAATCTGTGCTATGTGGCAGCAAGGGACATAGACGTGTACAGCATCTTGAGGAAGACGTTCCCATCTAAAGATCAACCTCGAAAACGGCATGCACTCTCAATCAGTGGTGGCTGTCCGCAAAAGGAGTGGGACCACTTTTCGGGATTCAGAAAGTTTTCACAATATTTTGGAAAATTCTCATAGAATCGATTCTTCTTATTTTTATCCTGATCTCATCCAATCTGTGTACGTAATATCAGTTGTGAACCATCACCTCCACAATATATTGAAATTTGGGCAAAATCCTTTGATGATTAGAGTTGTAGCCAAAGAACAAATTTGTACATATTCTACTGAACTCACTTTACCATAACATCTGATAGCCTTCCTTCCCCCATCTATTTCTTTTTTCGTTTGGTTTCCCGAGGTGTAAAACTCATAGGTTCTAAAAATTTTCGTTGCTATTCTGGTAAACCCCCAAAGCGACCAGTTTTGATACATTGGAAGGGCCAAGCAACCCTAGTTACCTTTGAAAGGAGCAAATCCACGTTGTGCCTCTCCTTTTTCGGTCTGGACACTCTTTGAGGAAGAAAACTGCGATATCAAAGAGAATTTCCTCCTTACTCTCGCCGTAAGGTGGGCTTCAGACTCGGCGATTCACAGTTGCGATAGTGGCAGAGACAGCGCTGTCGCAATTGCCAAGTGTAACCCCGACAGCGCAACACTCCCTCTTTCCCACCTTCACAATAGTACACTCTCGTGAGCGCTTGACTCACTTCATTTTGTCATGCGTTCAGAGGCTCGGCAAGGCAAATTGCAATCGCGACAATGTTGTAGCAACTGCAAAGTGCTCTCGAAGACGTAAGCAAACCAGCCCTTTTGGCACATCGGCTGGGACCGTATGCTGAATGTTGGGGAGGGGATGGTGTCCCCGACGGTGGACGGACAACTTCAACGCGGTCCTTAGAACCGCCACAATTTGGCGCTTACCTTAGAACTAAGCCTTAAAGAGAGGACGGGTCCGTCCCCTCTCCTAGGCTTAGTCCAAGGGTGAGCAGACCGGTCCTTCTGGCGAAGCTACTGGACCAGCTGCACCACTTGCGTCAGTACTCTCCTATCGTACCAACCGAGTTGAAGTAAACCGTCGACCGTTGGGGACCCCATCCCCTCCCCAACATTCAGCATACGGTCCCAGCCGATGTGCCAAAAGGGCTGGTTTGCTTACGTCTCTGTCGAAACGGCGCTGTCACTGTTGTGGTGCAATAGCCGAGTCTCACACCTTCGAGAGGTTTAGGGTTTTACTCATTTTGTTCAGGAATTCGGCAGTACCTAGAAAGTACCAGTAATGAAGTTTTCAACCTTTTGAACCTCGATGTCTCTTCTCTGAAAGCTTTTGGTTGTAAGAGACACCGAGCAGAGTAATTAAGGCAAATTTCAAGCTCGAAATGAGGCGATTGGTGGTACAAAGCAGTTGCTACATCAGTCTGCTTAGACATGAGCAAGTAGGTGCGTGAATGCCGCTATGTCTCAGCTATTCTCGAAGTGCTTGGTGCTCAAAAAATGAAACAATCATTCAAGGAACAGTAGAATAGTGTGTTTAGTGTGCTCGGAGCAGTGGACGACAGTGGATCTAGAAGCTTTCGTAAGTGCACACCAAACTCTTTTCTCTTAATTTTTCCAAATTAAACCACAGAGTAAAAGCTGGTAATGCAGTTTTCATTTTTTTAAAGTGACATGATTTTTCCGAATCCGTTTTTTCATAGATGTAGGCAAATAAACATGTAGTGCTGTCAGGGTCAATGGACAATTTTCGAGAGAGGATTGCTTCATACTTCCTGCATTGCTACAAGTGCTCGGGAAGAAAGCGCGGGAAATATCACTATGAAATATTATTCAGGGGGGAAGCGAACAAACCTTTAGACCTCCTTGAACTCGATGGCGATGATGGCAGATGAAATATTCTGAGGACGGTGAGGGCAGTGAAGGGAGCTCCTGCTCTCAGGCATGGGTGACGACTTTCATCAGCCCTGGTATTCTGTACGACGATAGGTTTGTTAATGCGCGCCACGAGCAAGATGGTATTTTGCCCCTCCCTTTCCCTAGCCTTCACATAGCGTCATGTGTCAAAGAAAGTCCGCATACTTTATCAGCTAATCAATGCGCAGTATTTGTCGTGCAACGCGAACTAGTGGTGAATATTGCATCAGTGAAATCCACAAAACACGGCAAAACGTGGGATTCCGATGGGTGCCCACAACACCTCTGAAGGGAAGACGCGTGCGCCGCCGAATGCTCCAAAGACGGAATTCCTCGTGCTTGCCGCGGGCTGTAGATTTACCTTGCTTCCCTGTGCGCTGGCGCGTTCCGCTTTCCTTGTAGAGCAATGGATGTCGACCTGTCGAGTGAACAAGGGGCAAACAAGGGGCAGATCCGGAAAGACACGAAGATCGACGGGTCGAAGATGTTAGGCGGAGTCTGCGCGGCGAACTCGATGTGTAAAGTCTACTATTAGGGGACCATGTGTTACACTGCTTCATGTCGCCTCAATAAAGATATACAAAATGATTACATCAATAAAGCCTTACCGAATATGATTGCATACTAGAAAGATAGAATACGAAGGATATATGTATTGTGTAAACATATGAGATGGACAGGATAGTGAAGTGGTGCGACAAATGGACTGTGACAAACAACATACTGAAATTAGAAGAGAACTGCAACAATACAACTAAGGATATAAGGTGCAAACTCCTTGAAGAAATACTAATGGTAAGTAGAAAAGGATAACGGCGTAAGGATAGCGGTGATGAAGACCGAAAGGTCAGAGAGGTGAAAAGGACGACTGACTGGGATGATGATGCAATGACGGTCACAGTTGGCGCGCGATATGAAGGCGCAGTAGATCAAGGTCCGGAGCCTCAAGATCGGCGCGAAGTTTGGGTATTTTCGCCCATTCCTTTTGTCAGTGTTGCCATGGAACACCTTTACTCGAGGTTGTCGTGGCACTGGTTGAGACACTACTATAGCATCAGTGCGAATAGAGTAGCCATTGCGCTTTTTTCCTTCTGTGTGTCAGCTTTTGAGCTAAAAGCGAGCTAAGCGCCTTGTATCACCACTGGTCAGGAGACGGTCCTGTAGATCAGCTATCGATGTTTTAAGGAACTCTTCTCGAGAAAATCGTGATTCTATCTCACCATAATTCACTGGCTTGGGACCCATCGTTCACGATAAGAACGAAAAGAACAAAAAATTGCATTTGTTTTGGTAAAAAATTCGAAAAACCGAAAGGGCTGCTACGCGTTCAAAGTACCGCCGGACATCTGTCACAAATGCTGGCGACGGGAATGCTTCCACTTGGTTCTTGGAGTGTCACTAGAAACTCTTTCTGGCCTTTTGACTTATTGCATTAACATCTCACACTTCTACTGCATCCTATTCTATCGATCGATTTGTCTCTACTCTCCAAAATCGCACGCTTCAACCCGATTCTTTCATTGCGTCGCCTGATACGTAGCCGCCCAAGGCGGACTTCTTTCCATGCCCGCCTTTGGCGCCTTACCTTCGATTGTCCATAGAGTGTAGTTTTTGTAAGTTTGTTTCTCTTCGGAAACCGAATCTTCATGCGTGAAACTTTGTATGTTGTCTCTAGTGATCACAACTGACATATGCGTGTTGGGTTGGGAAAGAATGCAAGATTTTTCTGGGAAGGATTCTTTCAGTGGCGACCATCTCATACGACACCTTTCATAATGTCAAGGAGCTACTGATCACAATACTAGACGAGGACACTTGGTTTTTGATCTGTTGCTTACCGCTGTTGAGAAGTGAAAAGGGATTAACGTATTCAACATAACGGATTCGAAGCTTTTGCTCACTGTGGTGAGATTCATTGAGCGGTGTGCTAAAGAATTCGCTCGCTTCGGCCGCATGTGGCTCATACTCATCCATGAGAGTTGCGTGTGTCTTCAACTCGAGTGCAGTTGGGAAACTGCTTCATCGGGCTAACGTTTCGACACTGTCGTTTCGACATCACTGATTTATTAAAAATACGCTGGAAAATTTTAAATTAATTCATTGATTTAATTAAATACACTCTGATACCGAAATCTTCATGAAAGTGCTAGCTAGCTTAGGAAGTCCTCTAGAGATATGTACGCTGTTTCTGTTTCTGTTGCAGGTCGTCTCAAGAACTTGTCTGAACGAGCTGTGCGAAAAGTCAAAACGTTTGTGAGTCGACCAATCAAGGAAAGCGCTTTGCAGCGCTTCATCACTAAACTTGAAGCAAGAAAGGAAGCTGAAGAGTCTGGAAGGATTTCGGTGCGACTAAGGATTCTTTCTCTAATCCGATCCGAGAAAAAAAATGATGAGTATCCTTTTCTATTTTCAGGGACGTGAGCTGAAGCAAGGTGATTTGCCCTTCCCGAAACCAATACAGCGGACGAAAAGCAGAGAATTCAAAGAAGTGAGATTGAATTTGTCCATCTTTTCT